ATTCTGATTACTCCAGCCAATCAGAGCGACCTGCTGGACTCGCCCAGCCATCAGTCTCTCCGCAGCCACACCATCCGTATCCTCGTCACAAAGCATCTTCGTTAGAGTCTCCAGCAGACACTTCTCGTTCCAACTCAGCATTTTCTTTCAGGTCTCTCTCGGCAGAACTCAGCCTTCTGCATCCTGACCTGCTACAAACCTGTCGCGCTGTCACAGCCTGCGAACCTGCGCGTGTTCATCCCGTTACAGTCAACCCCCCTGTCCCCTCTTCTGTCACCACGCTCTCCCTCTTTCTGCATCGCTCTCTACCCCATCCTCCTCGCCACTCCGTAGCGCACTCAAGCGCTCGCCACATCGAACCACTCCTGTGATGGTGGTCGAGGACAGGGACTGGAAATGGATTTTGTGTGTGGGACAGACGGGCATGGAGGATCGATGAAAGGGTTTGGAGTGCAAGGTGGTCTGTGTGGAGCTGATGCTGGCTGCTCTCCAGCATTTGCAGCAGGAACGTTGAAGCGGAGGGTGTCGTTTTCAGACAATCTCCATGTGATCTGCTTATAAAGCATTGGTGGTGTTGGAATTCATTAGTCCCTCTAGATGCTGGATCCCCAGTGTTTGCGTCTTCTTTTCCCGGAATGTGATGGGCTCTCGTGTATCGTTTTCCCCGCATTCACGTGCCCTGTTGACTTGTCGCACTTCTTGGCAGTGTACTTGGTGCAATGTTGTACTTTGGGGTTGCATTTCTATCAGGTGGTATACAGAGAAGTGTAGCAGTATCAAATTGAACGACTGGTTCCCTTTCCGCGGTGTTATGAATTAATCAGAGTAATAACAGGTAGTGTAATAAAAGAGTCGTGATTCAAGAGTCGTCAATACAAATGAGGACCTAGGCATTTATAGGCATAACAGGGCTAGCCGAGAACCTCGCAAACAGGTTAGGGCGATTCGACTGGCGAAAGCCACGGAGGCGCCGCGCATAGGTTTGGGTTTTCGAAATGGTTCGGGACTGAGGAAAATGGCCGGGCCTGGTCTTCCGAGGGTCGAGGGCGTACGCGCTGTAGTTGAGCCCAGTAAGGAAAAGGAATTTTCCTTACACCACCCCCCTTCCGAGATGAGACTACCCACATCCGGGACACGTCGTCGGTGTAAATAGTCCCTGACAACCAGGCCCCTAGATTGCAGGAAAATTTTCCTGATTCAGGAAAAAAACAGAGTTGTTGCTGGTACCAGTCCTGATTGTCCAGGATTTTTCGAAAGGCATTTCCTGTTTTTTCAGCATTTTTTGGGGTCAACTCTGATTGCTAAGCAAAGTTTTCTTAACGAATCCTGAAATTTCAGCTTTGCAACGAAACTGTACTTGTTTCCGTCCAAGCGTGACCTGGGGGCCAGCAGAGATTTCCAAGGTTCTGGCCCGCCCTCCAGGCTCTGTGAGGGCGCTTATTGGCCCTTCACAAATTCGTGGCTCGACGCGTGGGGGCAGTGTGAGGGAGGGCACTTGGTCCTTAGCCAAATTTTGGCCGATGTGTTCCTTAGAGCTTTGTATGGGCGAAATTTCCCTCAGCCCCTGCAATGTCGCCCACCTGACCCGATTCACCCTGCAAGCATAAATTCGCTACTGACATGCGCTAAGAACCTCTAAGAAATCAGGAAAAACTCCATAAGTAACTCTGTCTGCTCAGGAAAAAAATATTTAGGAGTCCTGATTCACGAGGAATTTTTTTGGGACCAACCCTGAAAAATCAGAGAAAAACTCAGGGGGGATCCTGAGCGATCAGGGCTCCTAAACCAATCTAGGGGCCTGCTGACAACTTTGTGTTCACCGAGCATAGCTGCGGGGACCCAGAGGTCGTCATCAATCGTGCGATCGACGACCATCGTACAAGGAAATCAACGGCAGCTGTATCGCGAGAACCTCGTACGCGATGAGCGAGAATTTTCGATGGCGATCGTCGGCTCGGGTACTGGGTTGACCGTAGGATTGATATGTTGACGGTCGAGATCAGTTGTATTCGGGACGAACGGTCGCAGGAGGCTGACGTGGAATGAATCGTGAATGCGCCAGTCAACCGGTAGTTGCAGCTGGGCGGTGACGGGAGTCACCATGCGGATTATGCGGAATGGGCCGCAAATCTTGGTCGTAGTTTATTTGGGAGGGGAATCCCTAAATTTCGAGTGTCGAGCAGGACCAATTGCCAGGGGCAAGGTGTAAGTCACGGCGTCGTCGGTCAGCTTGATGCTTGGCCGTTGGTTGGCTTTGAGGATGGCATCGGCAGCTTTTTGCTGAGACTGTCGGAGGTTTTCGACGAATTGCTGCGATCTGGGTGCCGGATTTTCTATCGGTGGCGATAGAGGGGTTGTCGGGTCTATCCCGTAATTAAGGAAGAACGGGGAGAGTAGTCGTGGCTGATGGGGCGTTGTTGTACGCAAACTCCAATGGAAGAGAATCTTCCCACTGGGCCGGGTCTGTGCAAGTTGTACGAATCAGCTGCTCCATCGTCTGATTGGTGCGCCCAGTCTGGCCGTCCGATTGCGGGTGGTATGCCGTGGGCAGATGTAGACGTGTGCCGTACTGCTGCCAGGTTTTTGTCCAGAAATTGGACGTGAACCGAGGGTCGCGATCGCTGATGATTGCCGAAGGGATGCTGTATAGCCGCACGATGTTCGTGAGAAACAGCTTCGCTGTCTGCTCGGCAGTGATTGTCGTCTTGCAGGCGGCGAAGTGTGCCATTTTGGTCAAACGGTCAACGACGACGAGAATCGCGTCATTACCGCTTGGACCAGCTGGCAGGCCAGTGACGAAATCCATCGTCACTTGTTGCCAGGGTCGGCTGGGTGGCTCGAGCAGCTGCAGTAATCCCGCGGGTCGAAGTCGTGACGACTTCATGCGTTGACACGTGGCGCAGGAGGTGACGTACTGCTGCACGTCCGTCGGCAAATCGGGCCAGTAATAATTACGGCTCAGTAGTTTGGCCGTTTTGTCGATGCCGTAGTGACCCGAGAAATTCGAGTCGTGTGCCTCCTGTATCAGTAGCTCACCTAGGGTACAGTAAGCGGGAACCAAATCCGATTGGTACCAGATTTTAGGTAATAAGCCCCCTGCTTGACTGTCAGTTGGGGATGACTGTTAGTCGTGAAGAATGGGTCGGTACTGTATCCGTGGGTAAATAGTCCAGTTAGCAGCGGATTTGTTAGGGTGATTAGGACAGCGGCGGTATGTACTGAAGGGCGGGTCAGTGCGTCGGCGATGTTGCTGGCCCCTCGTTTGTAGGTGACTCTGTAGTGGAAATTCGACTCGAGATAATCGAGCAAGCGAATCTGTCGGGGGTTGAGTGTCAGTTGGGCGCGGATGAACTGTAGCGATTTGTGGTCTGTTCGGACTGTCACATCAGCGCCCGTCAGGTAGCAGCGCCAAACCTTGAACGCGTGAACGATGGCGAGTAACTCCTTGTCGTGGACGGGATAATTTCGCTCGGCCGGATTCAGCTTTCGTGACTCGTAGGCGATGGGTTGAAGGCCTTCGCCGAAGTCCTGTAACAGTACTGTGCCAACAGCCAGGTCGCTAGCGTCGGTGATGAGTTCGAACGGACGGTGAGGATCTGCAATGCGAAGAACCGGAGGTGTTGTCAGGAAAAGTTTGAGTTGGTCGAACGCAGCCTGCTGCTCTCCCCCACTCATAAAACTTGCCTTTCTTCAGAAGATCCGTGAGAGGGGAAGTTACCCACCATGTTCGGGATGAATCGGCGAACGTAATTCACAAACCCCAGGAAACTTTGAAGTTCGCGGAGATTAGCCGGCGACTTCCAGGCTTGTATGGTCGCGATTTTTTTCGGGTCAATTTTAACACCGTCGATGGAAATAACGTGTCCCAAAAACTCCAGTTCTTGTTTCTGAAACTCACACTTAGAACCCTTGGTGATGAGTCGATGCTGCTGCAGGAGAGCGAAGACTGCTTCCAAATCCCTCAAATGTGCTTCCCGGGTAGTGCTGTATATCAGGATGTCGTCGAGGTACACAATGACGCATTTATCCAGCAGCGGCCGAAAAAATTCGTTCATGGTTAACTGGAATGTTGAAGGCGCGTTGGTTAAGCCAAAAGGCATGACCGTGTACTCGTAACTCCCGTATCGGGTTCGGAACGCCGTCTTGTAGCAGTCAGCTTCGTTGACACGGATCTGGTGGTAACCGCCTCGCAGGTCAATTTTCGAAAAGAACTTTGCCCCACGAAGTTGGTCGATGAGTTCGTCGGCACGCGGAATAGGATAGCGAGACTTGATGGTAACCCGGTTCAAGGCGCGGTAGTCAATGCACATTCGTAGACCGCCATCTTTCTTCGGGGTGAACAGTATCGGAGCTGCGAACAATGAAGTACTGGGGCGATCGAAACCTTTCTCGAGCAGGTAATCCAGCTGGCGTCGAAGTTCATCCAGCTCTGGCTGAGTCAGCCTCCACTGTGTTCGAACCGTTGGTTGCGCGCCGGGCTCCGACTGGATTTTATGGTCGTGGTCTCGCTCGGGTGGCAATCTTGGCGGTAGGTCGTCCGGAAAGATGTCGGCATGCTTGCGGATCAATGTCGCCAAGTCGTCGGGGACTGCCGCGCAGAGTTTGTCGATGTCGGCCGGTGCGCTGACAGCCGTGGATGCGATCCATCGGACGGCATACAGTTGTGCTCCGCGAATCATCGCTCGCTTGATAGTAACCGCGCTGACTGTCGCAGAATCTGGATTGTTCCACTTCAGAAGTCGACGCCACTCGCCACTCCATTTGATTCGACAGTCACCCGTCCGCCAATTGATGCTCGGGTTGTACTCGCGCAGCCAATCGCGTCCCAGCAGCATGTCGCAGCCGTCCAACGTTGTCGCCAGCATCTTCGTCGTAAAGCTGAAATTTTCGCCGCATGTAACTCGCACGTGAGGTACTCGCTCCCGAATTGCCAGGGGTGTGTCATCGACCAATCGCGCGTCGATTTCAGGCAGACACCGCTCCAGTTGCAGTCGCAATTTTCTCGCTTTCGTCACATCCATTAAACTGTGGCTTGCCCCGCCATCAACAAATATTTTTATGCGGGTATCACCAACTCTCTCTTCAACCAGCACAGGGTGGTCAACCGGTTCACCCCCCTTATTCAGCCAGGAATGGTCGATAGCCCAAATCGGCACTATAACCTGGTGGGGGTGGTGGCGTTTGGGCGACGCAGTCAAGTCAGTAGGTGGCCCATCTGCTACTGACGATCTCCATTTCCCGACTGCTTCTTGTCGTTAGGTAAGTTCTTCTTCAGCTGCGGGCAGTCCCTCACCATGTGACCCGGCTGGTTGCAGTGGAAGCAGGTCCCCGAAAATACTCGGGCTGCAAACACGTCCACGCCGTTGATTGATGTGTGTTGGGGCTAGCCTCGAAAGCGATTTCCCTCCCGGAAACCCGCTCTCGCGAGTCCACGTCGCGCGTCCAGCGCATCCACCATGCGAACAATCTCGTTGAAGGTCGTCGGGCTCGCAGGACGATTTCTTGTTGAATCTCCGGTTTGAGTCCGCCCACGTAGCGATCGATTTTCTTGTCCTCGCTGATCCCTCCGATTTGGTCGCAGATGGCCAGAAACGATGCCGTGTATTCTTGGACTGGGCCCAACTGTCTCCACATCCGAAGCTTTGTGCGAGCATTTTCGCGCATGGATATGTGCTCGAATCTGCTTTTCAACGCTTCGCCCCACGCTTTCCACGTGCGGATCATGGTCGAGACAAAGATTGGTTCTGCCGTTGCCGTTGATGAACTCATCTCCCCAGCTGCCGCCGTTGATTCCCTGCCGGAGCTCCTCCCTCGTCAAGATGCATGCGCCACCAGTCGAGTGCCGGTCCCCTCAGCAGCGACACAGCCAAGTTGACACGTGAGGCGTTGTCATTAATACTTGCTGCCGTGAAGAAGATTTCCATGGCGAACAGCCACCCGCTCACGGTGGTCGTCATGTGTGTCGGGTTGAACGGTGGGGGCATGGGAGGCTTGATTTTAATGGCCGTCCGCGGTTCGCTTTGGATTTCTTCAACTGCTTCAGGTGTCGCCGACGCCTTCGCTTCGCTCGAAACATCCTCGTCTCAGGTTACAGGCCGCTCCTGACGCGATTCACCCGCGTCTGGCGAAATGACGAGTTTTCGTTGCGCAGCGACTGAACTTCGCTTCCCAGCGACTTGAATTTATCCGCGAGTTGTTGAAGTTGGGCCTGTAGTGTTGTCACTGTAGCCGCCCTGGCTTGCAACTCGTCAAACTCCTCCTGAGTCACGTTCCTAACACTACGACGGGCAGAGGTTTCCGGCGTGCTAGTCATGCTGGAAATTTTACCTGACAGATCTGAGGGTGCACACGCTTTTAGTTGGAGGAGCTTTAACGAGCTCGCCTACCAACTGCTGGCCAACCCTCTATTCTGTCGGGTCCTCTCCCGATATAAACGGACTACTTTACGGAAGACTAAGCGGGCAGGAACGGGGCTCTGATACCAGCTGTTATGAATTAATCAGAGTAATAACAGGTAGTGTAATAAAAGAGTCGTGATTCAAGAGTCGTCAATACAAATGAGGACCTAGGCATTTATAGGCACAACAGGGCTAGCCGAGAACCTCGCAAACAGGTTAGGGCGATTCGGCTGGCGAAAGCCACGGAGGCGCCGCACATTAGGTTTGGGTTTACGAAATGGTTCGGGACCGAGGAAAATGGTTGGGCCTGGTCTTCCGAGGGTCGAGGGCGTACGCGCTGTAGTTGAGCCCAGTAAGGAAAAGGAATTTTCCTTACACGCGGAGTGGTTGAACGAGTTTTGTCTGTCCGCGTTACAATCACTTGGCGGTCCCACGACGGGAGATTTGCTCCTGACCAGGGCTTATGTTAGGTTTTGAACAACTCTGGCGCTCAGGGCTCCCTTCAAAATTCTCCCTAAAAACCCAGGGTCCGAATCTGCACTGCCTTTGTTTTTAGGGCCAGCAGAATAAATGCTCGGAGGACGCACATTTTCAAGGATCTTACTTGAGATTCTTCCACGCTCTGTGGTTGGGTACTAGGAGGAGGACGGGTGTTAGGAGAGCGGGAGAAACTTGTATTCTAGGGAGGGCACTGGAAGGGGGGTGTAGGTAGTGAAAAAAATTAGGGTCGCTGAAAAATCTCCTCGGATTTTTCAGGGTCGCTATGAAAACTTCCCAGATTCTGTCAGGGCTGGTTCAAAAAGAACCTGGAACCTATCAAACAGTGAAATTGATGAATAAGAGAGAGAGAGTACACAAACATATACCTAACTGTTGTACTCTCTAGAAGATGACCCTATACAGTCTATACAAGCATGATAACTAAACATGTTTGACACACCCCCTGGACTGCATAGGGGAATGTTCTAGACAAGCAGCTCAGGGTGGCACTACTAGTCCAGCCTCTGAGACAAGGGTCTAAAAGACCAGTCAGAAGGAGTACAGGCAAGGCAAGAACTAGTACAGGGCGGCACTACTAGTCCAACCACTGTAAGAGGACACAAGTCCAGTCTGAGTGTACACACAGATATATAGGACAGTACAGAGTCAAGGCCCGAGTAAGTGAGAGACTACAGGAACCAGACCAAGCTGCACAGTGCCGCTGATGATCTTTAGGCGCAAGCGCCTTCGTAAAGATATCAGCTGTGTTGGCACCGGAGGCTAAGTGTACTACGCGAGCCTGGCGACGCTGCTGTAGCTCACGCAGGAGGAAGTACCGCAGCTGGATGTGCTTCGCTCTGCCCTCGAGTCGAGGCTCCTGACACAGGAGGATCATGGCCCTGTTGTCAGCGTACAGGACCGGGGCAGAGCTAGGCCGCTCACCTAAGTCAGTGAGCAAGAAGGTCAGCCAGCGGAGCTCCTGTGCCGCCATGGCACCGGCGTAGATCTCGGCCTCACAGCTGGACTGGGCAACAGACGAAGAGCGGGTAGCTCTCCACGAGACAGCACCTGAACCAAGGCTAAAGCAGTAGCCCTGGGAAGACCTGAGCGTCTCGGCGTCGTCTGCCCAAGAAGCGTCTGTGTGTCCAGTAAGGACCACTGGCCTGCGTCCGCCTAGCACTAACCCCATGCCCGATGTACTTGCAAGATAACGCAAAACCCTCTTAGCGGCAGACCAGTGCTGAGGTCGGTGCCTGCCTGTGGCCACGAAACGAGCCAGGATGCTGAGAGGGTATGCGAGATCTGGGCGAGTGCAAGTCATCAGGTACATGAGGCAACCCACTAGCTCAGCGTAAGGACCACTGGGATCTACCGACTCCTCAGGAACTGGAGCGGAGAGTCTGTGGTCCAGAGGAAGAGGGGTGGGCTGTGCGGAGGAGAACTGAAGGCCGAACCTCTGAAGGACCTGGCGCACCAAGTGTGACTGAGTCAGGGTGATGGTGCGCGCGGCTCTGTCCCTGGAGATCTGCAAGCCAAGGTAACGGCGCAGCTCTCCAAGGTCAGTGCAGGTGTGTCTCTTCAGCAGCTCTGCCTTCACGGAGGCCAGTGCGTCCCTGTCAGCAGTGGCAAAGACCAGGTCGTCTACGTAGACGAGGATGTAGAACGGAGTCGAGCCAGCACGAACGAAGAGCGAGGGGTCTGCAGAGGACGGAAAGAACTGCAGGTCAGCAAGGGTAGCACGCAAAGTGTCGTGCCACTCACGAGGCGCCTGGCGCAGGCCGTAGACTGGCCGCCGCAGAAGCCACTGGGTCCCAGGGGGGAAGGTGCCAGTAAAGCCCTGAGGGCGACGCAGGTAGACCTGCTCGTGAAGGCTGCCCTGAAGAAAGGCAGTGGAGAAGTCGAGGGAGTGAAGCTCGTAGTCCACGCTGAGCCGCTACGTGTAGCAGCACCCGAAGAGTAGTCATCTTCGGGGTAGGAGCGAAAGTCTGAAAGAAGTCCACCCCCTCGCGCTGACTGAAGCCTCTAGCCACGTAGCGCGCCTTGAACACAGGCGGCCTCTCCAGGAGGGCGCTTCACCTTGAAGAGCCAACGGCCATCGACCACGTTCACCCCAGGTGGGGGAACTGCGTCGACGAAGGTGCCGGTGGATCTCCAAGATGCCATCTCCTGCTCCATGGCAGCTATCCACTGAGAGGCCCAGGGTCCCGAAACCGCCTCAGCGTAAGTACGAGGGGTCGGGATGTCGAAAGCGTCTGGGTCACCCTCAGGGACTAGCAGCATGGAACAGAGATGGGGAGCAGCCTCGGACAGGAAAGCAAGCTCAAACTGGCGGTCCTCCAGGACGTCACTGCCGAGGGCAGGAGCACCCCCGACAGACGGAGGACAGGCAGGGTGAGAGACCAGAGCGGTGGCGTAGTCAAGGCGGCGGGTAGAGGCGAAGTCAGCGACAGCAGCGACGAGGGCGTCAAGACTCGACACGGGAACAGACGGGTCGGTAACGAGAGAGGCAAGGACCCAAGGAACAAGAGGACGAGCGGCACGAAAGAAGTCGGACAGAGGAGGAGACGCAACGACAAGAGAAGACGGAGGAGGAGACGGGAGGAGGGGAGGTCGAGACGCGTGGGAACGGAGCAACATAGGGTGAGAGCGCGGGACAGGTGAGACAGGACGAGCACGAGAGGGGCGGCGAGACCAGACGTCTGAGGGCGGCGTCGGGTCAGGAGACAGAGGAGGGGACACAGGAGGGGAACGAGGGGGAAGACGAGCCGGGGACGAGTCTGGCAGAGGGAACACGGGGCCGTAGACGG